CAATTAAAGTTTTAATTTTATTAAATTGAACAAGCACAACATTCAGCATTCAATCAAATATTCTTAAAGATTTATTATTATTAATAATGTTATTTCAACATAATATCTGGTTATTTCGACATAATATGTGTGCGTGCAACAAGCAAGATGTGCATTTGTAAATCCGGTGACACGCGTGAAAAATTTCTTTTCTTTTTGAATTGTTTTGTTTAAAGACATTTCAAGCTTTCTATAGATATATTTCTCATGTCTGTGAGGCATACACTGAGTTTCGGTTAATTTAGGATGAGATGCGCTCCAGTTCATGTGCAATGCAATGCGCCGGCGCCTCCATGTCATGATTATATTGTCTGCTATATTTGCTACTTATTTATTAAATCCAGACATAGATACAATTTATTCATATACTTTAAAGAAAGGCTTTCTACAAAACAAAACTTAATGAAGTGGTCAAAATCCTGTCTGACCCACTCCATGTCTCCCCATATATTGCACATACTATCTTACTCATGCTGTTCACTTTTCATAATCAACATAGATGGAAAAAAAATAACAATATAATATTTTAACAAATATGAAACTAAATGTGCTTATTTAATGGCTACAATGCATATAGTAGGCCTACAGACTCTATTTGTACAAATTGCTGCACATTCATTTAATTCTGAATTTTGCAAACATAAGTTGAAAGGCATTTGTTTGTGCATAGTAAAACATATCTGCAACATTTATCAAGTTGACGGATAATTGTGCGTGCATTTATTAATCATTATGATACTAAAATCATAATAAAGTAGGCTATACTATGTACAAAAAAGCAGATGAGCCCAGAATATGAACGCAACGTGTTTAATAACACGTTAAGCATTTTCCGTTGCGTTGCGACGTTCGTCTGTTATAGGACAACTTAGTTTGAATAAACGAGCAGACACTGATTAGCTACTTGCTCTACGTTTATTTTAAATTAACAGCAAGACAACTAGCAGTGAATGTGCTTTCCATTAAATGAATCACACACAGTAAACAAATCCTTAACAAACAAAAAAAACAGGCCTTTCTTTGTCAGTGTCGGCCAAAGATGAAGTTGACGATGCTGACTCGCGATCTTCAGTAGTCAACGCGCCAGAGAGAAATGCACATTTCATACGGATTACATAAGCAGAGAGCAGTCTGTAGTCTGTTTTCTTTCGGTTTGAATTGTTCTGTTTAAAAGTAGACATGTCATGTCTGTGAGGCAAGTAGGCTACCTTATATGCTGAGTTTCGGTTCATTTATGAGACGAGCTCCAGTTCACGCGCCGGCGCCTCCGTTTCGTGATTATCTATCGTCTGCTATATTTACTTCTTATTTATTAAATCCAGGCAATTGGTTGATGAAACATTGATTCAAATTAAGATACAATTAATACAAAACGAAATTCACTTTAAAGAAAGGTTTTGTTCTTTCTGTTTGATGTCTCTGTGAACGTTTTACTCTGTGAGACGTGATTAAATTGTCACGTCTTTTAGTGGCGCTTTCAGACCGGTCACGTCCGTAACATTGTTTTTTCCTCATAAATGCGAACACGAAACATAAAATAAAATGAATATTTTATGTTCTGTGGAGACTACTGTTACTCATAATTTGTATTCTGAAGACGTAACACCGGTACATGTATTCCGTTACTCCCCAACACTGATATTAGTATAACCTTATCTGCAAGATATTTTAATAACACGGTTTTGGCGGTTATAGAGTTCTAATGACGGTGTTCAACTATAACCGTCGGTCTCACGGTTATAATAACCGTCACACCCCTAGTTATTACATTACTTAACAGCCACTTGCTTAAAATAGGTGTCGTTTTAAAACTTAGAAGCTTGGCTTTACATTGAATATAGAGAATATGATCATTACTTAACAAGTGCTTTTAAATTAGCTGAAATATTAGAAGTACTCTATTTTTATAGCGAGAAAAAATAACTGCTTAACATAAAAATATGATCTGTAAAATAATCTTACATAACAGTACATAACAATAATCGTACTACTTCATAGTTACGTTCAATGTTCCCTCTAATTTTTTGCACTGGACAGACCCCTTTCAGACGCATCTTCAAGAAAACTCCAAGATAATTTTTTGTCAAGATAACCAAAGTCAACCATCTTAAGTTCCTAACACCACCAAGCTGGAATCCCACAGAAGCTTTGCATTTTGTTGTTGTTGTCATTTCCTTAAGGTCCTGACTTATTTTTCTTTTGATCTTGAGAAAATGACAGAAAATTTATTAAAATGTCAAAAATATGGACTTGTGTAAAAAAGTATGTTTGTAAACGGTTTGGTCCCACTTTGAACAGCATGGAGGGAACAATGTAATTGCAAAAGACATAAAATATACATAAATACTGCTATAAAGTCTCAGAATCTGAAAAGAAGTAGTTAACTGGTCACAGTTCATTTGAAGTACCTTTACATGACTGTTTTCACTCTAACTTGATCCGAAATCGAGCAAAAAGGCTTCTTAGAAACGCAAGACGAGGGCGATGAATACACTAATTGAGGCAGGCTGGTTGGCAGCCACCTGCAGGCTATGTAAGAGAGACAGTAATTAAGTCGAACATTTAATGATTCTGCTTAATAGGAGTGAGAGATGGAGCAATGAGGAGAGAAAAAAAGAAAACAAGCAACAATTACAAACAACATCAGGAGGGAGAGAAGAAGAGGAGAAAATAGGAGAGCAGAGAAGAGGGTCTAATTTGGCTAAAGAACATGTTAAGTGGGAATATGCAATCAGATTTACTGATCAAACAGATTGAAACTCACAAGAAACTTCCTGTTGTCACACAAACACAAATTAAGCAGAACAAGATCAACTCTAAGATATTTTGTCAGGGCCATGACCTAGTAGTTAGCATATGTCAAGTCTGAAGCTTGCAGCTCGCTTCTCGATCCTTTCTGCCTCCAACAACTTTTTATCACCTTCCCTCTCAAGCTTTCAAAATGGCCTACAGACCAATAAATAATCTAAGATCAGTTTTGCTTTACTCTTGTGGAGTTTGATCTATATATTTCCCCTAAGAGGTGATGGTTCCGTCTCATCTAGCTGTTGAATGTGAGGCATTTTGTGAGCGTCAAACAGACACAAAAAGTGTGAAAAAAAAGGGAGTCTCTCTCGATAGGCTCCAGGCAAATATTGACATCTTTTCTGTTGCCTGTCTCTCTGCTCTTCAGTCCTGCGTTCTCTTTCTTCTTTTGTTTATAAGGGTTAAGAGTCTGAGTGACGGGTAATCCTCTGTAACAGAGAGCAGCGTCCTGTGTACACTCAGTGTCTTTATCATCGTAAACCCTCCAATAAAAATACCACAGTTCATTTGCACCTGTGCTTTGGAGGACGATCCTCTTTGCACCATCCCTTCTGCCACTGAAAGGATTTGTACATGGCAAGGCGAGAAGGGGACAAGGGGACGTGAAGGAGAGAGGGAAAATACAGAGAAAAGACACATTTAAATGGAAATAGAGTCTGGAGGGAGACGAAGTGGCCTGGCAGTCAGTGAGAAGAGAAAGCATATTTGTGTACTGTTTCCCAAGCGCCAGCTTTTCAGAAGCAGAGGAGGCGGGCATGTGTTAGTTTAAGGCGCATAAAGAGAGTTTTAATCCTTTCAGAGGGGTCGTAATGGCCACGGAGAGGCGTCTCCAGGAGGGAAAGCCTTTCCGAAAAAAAGGGTCGCAATTCAGCAGCCCTCTGAACCACACAAATCAAACCTCTAAAGGCCTTCAAAGAGCAGAATGTGGGAAATGTGTTTGGAGTCCCGAGGGAGTGAAGCAAGGAGAAAAAGGAGGAAAAAGGCTTGTCGGCATCAATCAGTCGTTCTCTCTCACGTCCTCCCCGGGGTCAGATCTCTTTCCAGCCTCCGTCGCCCCCTCCCCACCCCACCCATCATGCTCTCCATCCTAGTAACGCACCATTACAGAGGAATGTGGATTCACAAGGCTGGGCTCCATTATGTTGGCCTGCCAGGGGTTTGTAAAATGGGGGAGCTCAAATTCCAAAGGCTTTAAGAGCAAATTAGCAGTGTGCTGATGGGCTCCTGCTGTCTAAAGACACTGAGGTTTTAAAAGCAACTCAACTGACTCCGCTCTCAATGCCTCGGATCCTTTGACTGGCAAGTTCTTACCGCAGTCTCAACACGAACAAACTTCCTACGCACCTGGCGGGACGTTTACATGCACACAAAGAACAGACGGTGCGCACATCGCAGCTCCTCAATGTATAAATACAAAGCGGGCTTTTAAAATAGACACGGCAAACAATATCACACACACGGAGTATCAAGCCAGCAGGGTAGAATTGCTTCTTCTACTACCGTCTGTGCCGCAGATCCAGCACCTTTATTTAGCATTTCACAACTAATCAATTTCCATAACAGAAGCCAGACGCCGCTGCACATGGGACCCAGTGTGTGGCGTTTACACATGCTGCGCGCCTGAAATGGATTTTCTCATTCATCACTCAGCAGCACATTGGGATCTGTTTAACAGAGTGGCTCAGATGGATTTCTCCCAGCCCATACGCTGTGAGAAAGCACGGATACAACACACTGTGTCTGTCAATGGAATCGCAGTCGGCCTCGAGGAAATGCGTTATTTCCCATGGCGCCCCAGAAAGCAAAACACATCAAACGTAATCTGAATGTGATATTGGTAAATAAGGTTGTCTGGTATAATGTGACGGATTCAAGTTTGTCTTGTAACACATCAAAAACTGCATGCTGCTTCCAGAACTCATACAATACCTACATTATAAAACAGTATTGCAAAGACTGGATTATTTCTCACATATTACATGTTGATTTTTTGGAGATTATAATATTAAGAAAACAACAATCATTTGGAGTATGTGCCTCCATGGGACAGGTATAATAATCTGTCAACAGCAATTTCACTATTACAGAACTGTAATTTACACAATCAATAACAAGCAAGCATATTGGCAGTATGGAATAAAGAAAGACAACCATACCTTTAACTGCAGCTGTGCTGAAGAGTTTCTCTGAGCTGGCATCTGAGCCCTGAGAGAGAGTGACAAAAAGAGAGTCAGTGCATCTGCTTCAGAACTAAACAGGTGGGCTTCATCATCAAAGGTAGCGGAGCACTAATGAGCGCAAAGATTCAGTCTCTTCCCAGAGCGGCCACTGGATGGCACTGTGGCTCCATGCGCAAAACGATGCGCTGCACTTGAAACGGGTTGAACGCATTAACATTGCTATGTTATTGTGCAAACATCCAGCATTGCAATTTACACAGCATTTAGGTAATGAACGCCTATTTAAGTGACAATGTGGTGTCAAAGGGGCATCGGCTAATTCAATTGGCTAAACAGCAACAAAGATAGAACCATTGCAGTCCATCCATTAGCATCTGACCTGGCTCTCCACTCAGTCATTCGAGAGGAAATGATATGTGCACTTTTTAAACAATTTTGGAATTATTAACCAAGACAATAACAAACAAAAAGGTGTAAAGGTACACCTTGTAGCCTACGTCTTTAATTGGATACACATTGGACACAAAACAGCTAATTTGGAGACAATTATTCTGACAGGTTTAGCAACACTATATCCATAACCAGCTCGAGGCAAAAAACGATAGCCTACTGACAAGTTACGAAAACCCTCCCAAATATGTGCACATTTTAAGTAGGCTACATTTAAAACTAGCTATGTAAATAAAATGTTAGGGTCATTTAAAGATCTAAAAATGTCAATAATAATGATTATATGATTAACAAGGTGATATGCATTCATTAACACATGACGTCAAGAGATTTCCACATAACGATGCGTTCGCGTGACCGCGAGTTTTTTTATTCAAACCACAACCAAAAAACATCTGGCAACATTCACTGCAGAGATTTCAACTATAATTATTCACAACCAACGACAAGAAAACAACGCTCCAAATCCTCCAGCCATCGAGTAATCCAATGAAACTGCTTTAAAATTCCCATAAAACGTCGAATGACATTGTGGTTATCGATATGAACTAAAACATTTTTTTTTGAGGAATATGAAGGTGCGGTGTAACGTTACCTTTTAATGTGGCGAGGTTGGCACGGAGGAAAATAAGTCAAGAAATCACTTTTATTAGGTTTAGTAAATACGCCGTTTCACATTCTGCTTGTCAAACAATGTAATCCATAAACAGGCGGCGAATTCCTCTCGCTCCCTTTGAGAGAATGACAGCCATGCAAAATAAGAAGCCTTTTCCCATGGAAGAAGAAGAAAAACATCCAGAGCTCAAAGCAAGAGAGGCTCCCGGACAAAGGCAGACATGTGTCTGGAACCCAAGAGCGCAGAGAAGTGGAGAAATCCTTCAGTTCGCCCCCTTCGCGCGAATTGGCCGTTTGAAATCCTCGCCAACCGTCGCTTCACGGTAGCTGCCGCTTATGTGCTTTTGTGTCAGGGGCGCGCTCAGTAACAAACCATCCGCGCGCCTCTCTCCCGTGCGCTCGTGCAGAGCTAGAAAATCCAACAAAGCATACAGTATTTTCCTCCTATATGCAGATTGGGTGGAGTAAAACCGCACTAAAAACCCCGACCGCCGCTTCCTTTCTTCGAAATCGTCGCTGGTTTCAAGCTCGTGTCCTGTCGCTGGCTCCCGTTCCTCGCGCAAGTGCTGCCTGTATCCATACAAACTCTCTCATTCACCCACAGCGCGACCGAGTCCTCCCACTTCCTGATTCTAACCTGACTTCATTCAGCTTCTACCCATAGGCTTCTACCCCCTGCTTCTTTCTGCCTCGCACACACGGAGCGTGTTTCCTCCGCTCAGCTTCACCGGACAGACTATGCGTGTGAGAGCGCGCGCGGGTGTGTGTGCACGGTGCTCAATGAGAGCTTCTGGTAGCGGAGTCCTAAGTGCAAACAGGAGATGGAGCGACCAAGAGAGAGAGAAGGAGGAGGAGGAGGAGGGAACTGGGATAGAATGATATTCTTTCACTCTCTGGCCGGAGTGAGGATGATGTCAGCTACTAATGAATTTCCCAGTAGGGTGCAGCTACTGTGAAGGGGAGGGAGACAGAGACTCTCTTCATGAGCAGCACACACCTCTCTGGTTCCCTCAGCCACAGCCTTCTTCATTGGGGTTAAAATCACCCAGGCTGACCCAGAAAAGCACCATTTGCCCTACTGAATAATTAGCAGGGGGCAAAGATGTGCAAATTTACAGCTGTTCAAAAGTTTATAAAGATGCAGCATATTAAGACAGTCATATTTGCTGAAATTTCGCTGAGAAAAAGGTCCATTGTACACTATCAATAGAGTAGAAAACCGCACACCTAACAGTCACTTTCAAACCAAGCAGTGTTCTGGTGGTCAAAAAATGGTGAATTTGAAACATAAAAAAACTTTGCCTTTATGTGAAATTCCAGATAACATGAATTATTGTTGAAATGACAGGATTTTACCCACAAATTTTTGGCAAGCAACGGTAAATGTGACTACACCTTTATAAAATAACAAGATGGCAAGCTGCACTGTGTGTTGTTGGGACTAACATGGAGGGATATTTAACACCAGGAAAAAGAATTAAAGACTAAGCTGATCAACCACGTCTTTAGCAATTATACGCTAAGACCGATCCTAATTGTGTTTCCAAACCGTGGTGTAATATTTACCTCCTTCCCCCAGGGTTTGAGGAAAAGCCTGAAGATCTAATTCCACTAACCTCAGTCCATGGCCACTCAAACCCAAACAATCCAGCAATCTTCAGATAAAGCCGGACATTCCTGGAAAATCTCCTTAATCTGACTGATTTGGGGTCCCGTGGCTTAGCAAACCAGTATTAACCCTCTGCACTGCGGGTCAATGGATTAACAAGGGACTCGCATTGCAGTGACCTCTGACCTTGACTGCCCCCAACAGAGTAAGAGAATGAGTTAGCTTATTGCTGGATGTTTATCTTTCCTTTTCTATATCTCTCACCCCTTCTCCTTTGAGCCAGGGGGTAAAAAAGGAGCTGCACGCTCCATCAATATAACACCACATGCACTCAACCTCCAACATCTGCCTCAACCAAACAACAGACATGAGTTTATTTTTCTGTGTGAGTTAAAATAAAGTTCAACATGTGTAATCTATTGTGAACAACATTGCTGGAAAAGTAAAGTATTATTACATTATTTGCAACAAATCAATGCCATATATATATATATATGAAAGAGTGTTGATAAGGCACACAACAGTATTTTTACATTTAGGGTAACATGGTGAGTTAGAAATGTTCTTAGTGTGTGTCAACTGCTACGTAAAGCTATTTACAGGCATTGTTCATGGTTAGTTCATGTTAACTAATGCATTAACTAATGTTAACTAACCGTGCTGTTAATGTGAACTGATGCATTAGTACATGTGTGAGTTAACGTTAACAAATATTAACTAATGCTGAACAGAGGTGTCGTTCATGGTTAGTTCATGTAAGTAATGCATGTTAACTTTTGCTCTTAAAAATACGAGATGCGCATAATCCAACTGCAGAGCCACAGCGCTGATTGATGGAAAAGAAGGCTTGGTCTCAAGCGCAACACGTTGAAAAAGCTGCGAGATGTGGCGCAACGGTCAAAGATATCCATCTAGTGCATATATTTACATAAAAAACTATTGAAAAGCAGCGGCGGTTACTGTAAACAGCACGGAGTAATCACGTCATCTCCATACTAATTTTATGATTGGCCCAAAGCAGACTTCTTACGTCAGCGCGTTATGACTTCATACTCATACTGGTAATCTTCATTCACACACAGCATCATAACGGCAATTTACTGGTAATGTTACAACTTTCCTTACTGGTAAATTGCCAGAACCAATTTACCAGTATTTTTGAACAGGTATTTTGCATTTGCAACAAATATGCCAGGATAAAATTGTAACAGGAAATATTTTCAATTTTATTCAAAATTTAAAGAGATCCAAGTATCATAATAATATTCTTCTTTTTTTTTAAAGGTCCTCCTCACACATGATCTCTTACCTGTACTTTACTGGTAATTTACCAGTAATGACTGTATGTGTGAAAGGGGCTATTTACTCATCATATGGATAAACTGACAGTAACAAATACATTAAATGATTGGGATCCAAGAGAAGTCAATGCCACTCAAGGGAGAGGAGGGGGTAGGCTTTTAAAATACTTCCCCTCACACATTTTTGCCCTCTGCTAATTTCTGTCTCACAACAAGCCTGAGGTAATCTAGGTTTAGCCCACAGACTTTCAGAATACAGAGGCAGCTGAAGCTTATTAGGCCTATCAGACTCTAAATGAGCTAAGTGCAGTCTGTGGAGGACAGGTTTAGTGCTGCTTAGGGGCCCCCTGCTCCCAGCCCCAGGATCAGGTCAGCAGGGCCACTATCGAAAACCCTTGAGAGTTTCAAGGAAACATCATTGGTAATTATCCATACAAAGTGCAGTTATGGATACATGTTCAAGCAATGAGTTCTACTGACCCTTTTAAGCACTTTAATTGCAGCTGCAACTATATGCCAGGACAAAATTGTAACAGGAAACATTTTAAATTTTATTCAAAATTTAAACAGATCCAAGTATCATAATAATATTCTTTCTTTCTTTTTTTTTTTATTTGAGGTTCACATTTACTACATAATATATTATGCTTGTAATTTTTTTCTAAACCGTATAGTATATTTTTATGTGGACGTAACCGTGGCAAAATTGGTTTGGCTATAAAAAAGGTCCCTTTTTCATCTATATTTGATTAAATAGATATGATTACATTATGATTACATATGGAGCATGTCAGGGTTTGGATGAGGTGCACCAAAGCAGCCTTCGTCCCCAAAATCAGAGCTCGCTTTCCTAAATGCCTATCATCAGATTTGAGCGAAACCTCAAGCCTGTGATTACCGCTCTCCGCTCCACAATCAACGTCCGGATCTCTCAGCGCAGATTATTTTTAATTCAAATGAAACGCTGACAGACTACAGAAAGCAGGGAGAGAAACACAGAGAGAGAGAGAGAGAGAGAGAGAGAGAGAGAGAGAGAGAGAGAGAGAGAGA